AGGTTTCTAAAATAGGGCTATACATGCAAAAACTGCGAAATGTACATGAAGTACAAAACTAAGTAGTCTGAGTAAAAAGAAAAATAATTTTTTGACTGTTGCTGGTCATTCTGACCAGCCAAAGAAAATCAGCTCGGTTAAGTCTATTGTTTGAGGGGTCATGTCCAAAATATTAAAAATAATACGATGATTTATACCAGGAGGATAATTTAAACATAGTAGCTTAAAAAGAAAAAATATAAATAAATTCAAATCCATTAGCAGTGTACATGTCCACTCAAAATGGCTGGCAAACCAAGAGTTAGTCTGGACAAATGGTCACCTTGGCCTGACATTGTTTATTGATTGGCAGTTATTTTGAGCCCTGGTAGCAACCAGCGAAACGAAACAAAACATTAAACAAGCAGTCATTGAAGCCAAGCGAGTGGCTGACCAACTACAAGTAATGGCTGGGCAGCTAGACCGCTTGGCTAACCAAATCTTAAGACAAGCCGGAAAACAATTTAAATGTGAAAATAATGTTCAATTTAGAGAGCAGTACTAAAGATGTGCCAAAAGACAGAAAAGAAACTTAGTGGTGTACATCTAGGTAAAAACTGCAAAACAATGTATTACAGAATATTTTTTTCTTTGGTCTTTTGCATCATTCAATTCTAACTTCCCCTGTTTTCTCTCTTTTTTCTCTATCAACTGCTCCTCTTCATTATGCACTCTGGGACATCTCTTCTTCACTACTGTGTCTTTACTGAACTATGCAAGAGAAAAATTCCCCATATCTGCTGATCTTCAAAGTCGTGTACTCCTGGACTTTTCTTCTATCTTCTTCATAACTTTCTGTCAAAGCATAATATATTTTCATCAGGCATAATAATTTTTAAACAGCTATGTAAATACAGACCACCACCTCTATCCCCCATCCCCTCTCCACATCCTTCCCAAAAGAATTAAATAGATGATTTCAATTATTCCTTGAATTATTGCTGTAGCACTGGGCTGCTGTGTGGTTTGTGAACTATTGTGATTATTGACCTGATATGTGGTTATTGAACTACTTTTTTTCCAGGCAATAAAAATAAATACCATATATAAGACTATAAATGGCCATGCATGCACCTAGAATGGAATGTCATTAGGCTTGTGTATGTTTACTGAACTCGTAATGTCATTACTGAACTATTTGTCTTCATTGAACTACAACAAAAATAAGGAATGTTCAATTCCTGTGTGGGCAATGCCACCTGAAATAAGAACAACATTCCATGCACTCAGGGGTAGAACTATGACAATGAGTTTATTGAATGGTTCCTACCTCAGTGCACAAGTGCGAGAGGAAGGAAAAATTTGCCTGCACTGGTATTTTCGGCAGCAGAATTTTTTATAAACATCTTCAGTGACGTGTGGATGAAGAAGAGTGAAAATGCAAAAAAAATTCCAAAGGAAGAAAAAAGTATCAAGTATTGAAAAGATATAATATTCATACTATTATTATTATTATTATTATTATTATTATTATTATTATTATTATTATCTACAGTCTCTGCATCTGTCACTCAAGAAATTTCTCGTCATGTAAACAAAGAAGTGAAAATTGATTCTATCTCAATAACCCGGCCAAGCCTTGCAGATATATTTTTAATTCTCATTAGTTTTTCAGCCCTAGGCTACTAGTTTCCATTTAGCAATGCTAATTTAGACCAGCATTGCTTTCCCCTTGGCTATGCTTTTCCTGGTCATGAGCCTAATTGTTGCCTGAAATGTGACATGCCAACCTATGTGCACAACAGCAACTTCGAAAACATAATTCAGTTGTGCATAACACAAACCAACAATCCCCAGACCACAGTTATTTCTGGACGGAGGGAGTAAACTGCCCCTCATGTTACCCTTTAATTTGTTGGTACAAAGGATGAAAGAACTGGCTCAGTCATTAAGCAGGTAAAAAGAAATGTGTTATCACGTGAACAGTGTTTCCTTACTATCTGATCTCGAGACTGATCGTTGTAACAATGAAAACAAGAAATTACTACATAAATTTTATATAATGCTTACTATTCATGAACCATTTGAGTTTTTTAGCATGTAAAAGAGAAAACAATAACTTGTACAACTTCAAGTAAGCTCACAAAATTTCAGCAAGCAAGCCACGCGTGATCATTGTCACAAACGTCGATACAAACATGCATTTAACATAACCAGAACGTTACAAAAAAAATATTTCCAGATACCTTGCCGGAGATGATGACAATAACGATGGCGACGATAAAGATGATGACGAAGGGAATTCATTACACCAGAAAGCAGATGATGATGCAGAAGATTTCGACGAGGGCTGTTTAATATGATCCAGAAAAAGAAATTTCCCGCTTCGCGCATCTTTAAACGTACGAAATCAAATGTCAAGCTTGAGGGGCCGTCATCAATCCATGGAAAAGACTTCTCCAACACAAAACGGCTCTTCTAGAAGCCACTCCATACAAAAAAGGCAATGACCAAAAGTCGCAAACCACTTGAGTTGTATGTTGTTGACGGCTGATTCCCCTGACGCTTACTTGCATCAAAACATGTTGCTCTTTTATCTATTGATTAAGTAGCCGAAACACTATGTTTTGTGTATTAGGAATTTAATACAAACTGATAAATCTCAACTACTGTAGCAACACGTCCTGATATGGTAAGAAATTTGAAAAATGCGCCGAAATACAGCTCCCAATCGGCCACCGATCGTCCGCCATATTGACAACAAGATCATTCATTCTTAACTTTCCGCATGCGTAGTAACTACGAGATCGCTTTTCACGTCACAACCTCTCGACCAATCAACCGTTTTTAAGCCCTGTCACGTGGTGCGCCAAAAAATTAACGCATGCGTACTATGCGTTCGCGTCTTATATAAGACGCGAAGGTCATTTATACGAAGTTTTTCTCGTCTTAGCTAAGACGCGTCTTATGTAAGAACAGGTGTTAAGGGCTGGTCTAATTTTAGACGAAATGTGCCGTTTATACGGAAAGTTCGCGTCTGATTTAAGACGCGTCCTATGTAAGACGCGTCTTATTTTTCCTCGTATAAATGGCCCTAATGTTTTACGTACCCTCCTTCCTTTCTTTCGCTTCCCCACATTTCTATTGTTTTTTCTCCACCGCCACATTTCCATTGTTTTCCTCCACGACTACCAGCACATAGAAAGGTTACACTTATGGAAGGCAGAAAGGCCAAACCAAAGCAAAACAACCCCAAATCAGGCCAAAATAGCCAACGACATACGGGTCATATTCTGCTGAAAGTCGAACATTACTTACCTGCAAGACGAAGTAATATGACCCATAGGTCCTTGCGATAACTTGAATAAATTAACAATGAACAGTTTTCTTAGTTTTTACTCAGCCAATCAGAAAACAAGACATTTATCGACCTAGAAATAGCTAGAAAACCTGTCCAATGGGTTAACACGACCTTACCTTACCGCGATTTCACCGCAATTTATTTTTAAGACAAAAGGCTATGACGTCATCGACGTTAACGTATTCCTGTGCAAAAAAGAAGTAAAACATCCCTACTATACTGCTAATGCTGTACCTGTCACGTTGTCCGGTTTCTTTTGCTACAACACACAACTTTGGCTCGTCAAACGAACCAAGAGAACGTTAAAATGACATAATTCACATATGATTTCAATTAACTAACATCCGCTTTGAAATAGAATTGCAAAGTAAAACAAATACAAAACCCCGATAATGTGGGTTCATTGGTCTTCCGACTGCGCGTTTTTAAGCCGGGGCAGTAAGGTAACTTCTTTCCCCTTTAACGATTAGCATCATTCTTAGCTGGGAACTTCCACACCACACCCCTCCCTCACCACCCCAAAACTATGATGATTATGATGAGTTACGGAAAGCTGGCACGAAAATGAGTTACTGCCTATACAATGATCAGAAATGTACGAAGGAGCTCTACAGACAGCTGAGACTAACAAGAAACTAACAAATACATAATGAAGTCAGTAACGTAACAAGACTACTGAGATTTAAAACCGAAGATCCAGGGTAATACGTAAGTATACAACCAACCTCTCCAAAAAGAACAAGCTGGCGAACTGAAAAGCCACTACCGGGAAGACTACACTAGTAACATACAAACAAACTATTCCGAAGGAAAAGGTTTGAAGACAACACCTTACACTATACAGAGTCTTTACCCAAAAAGGACAGCTGACACCGTATGCAAAGATTTGGTTTTGTTAACTTTGGTGACTGAGGTTAAGCCAGCGACTTGACCGGTTAAGTCGCCCAAACGTCATCTCGCCCTAAACCATAGTGTAACCCTCCATGGTCGCCTGACATTTTCTACTCAACAAGATCCTTAAACCTTGTAACAAAAAGTATTGCGCTTGTTTCGTCTCATCAAGGAGTAGGGGAAGGAATAGAATTACAGATTTGACACTCGTTTCGTGTCATCGTGGCCTAAATGAACGAGATTAAAAAAACACATTTATCGCCCTTGGTTTACCTCAACAAGGCTTAAAGAACGAGATATCATTAGACAAACTGCCTTATGCACTTTTTTTCCGCGTGTACTACACCTGATAAAAATTCGCGCGACATTCATTTGTAACTCTGGTTTCGGGTGACCTAACTTTAGGCTAGATGACTTTAGGGCGACTTAACCATCAGACTGGGCTAGCGATGGAAAAGTTAGTTTTTCTCAGGACCCCGATTCGGCGGTCAATCGACGTTATCAAAACAAGTCGTTGTTATTCAATCCTCCACTGACTATACACCAGTTAAATTAGAAACTACACCGCTTCATTCATCTTCTACCCGTATAAACGAAAAGAGGAGAACAGACAATGACGCAAATTTTTAACTTTGTCTTCTATGGTAAATAGAAATAAGTCTGTCCCACAGTCCAGTGCTGTACAACTTCAAATGAACAATAACGATCAGCCAAAATTACAGGCCATCCAAGGATTTGACCGAACAATGCCAATCTTTGACCAAACATTGTCCGTTGACCGGTCGTTATTTCAAGACCTGGAGGTGGCCTTACAACACAAATACAGTATAAAGCCAGGGGCATAATATTCCAAAGTTACCTTTTATTCATAAGTTATCAAAAGACAAAAAACGCTATATAAAATGATCCCTGATGATAGCCAGATTTCCAGATAAACTAATAATGTTGGAATTCCTATCATTTTTTATTGTTTGTGGTGTAGTGCAGTCACCGTGTTCCCTATTGTCACCTGTTAATGGAGATACCAGAAAATTATAACACCAAACTTGTAGGAAGCAAGTCTAGAGAAGGATACAAAGTTTACTTAGTCAGTCTCTCAGATCAAATCATAATATAGTTAAACTTCTGCAAGACTACAAGTCTATAGGGAAAGGAAAACACTGATTATCAAGAATTAATCTGACAGCAAAAAATACAAAGGTACTTGTGACAGAAAAGACAGTTGTGCGGCGGCAGCGGCAAAAGAGAGTTGGACAGCAAAGTTTAACCTGAAACATTGCCTACTTACATTCTCTACTACAAATAGATCACTTAATGCCCAGTTTTTGTTTCTCTATTCACAAAAAATGTCTAATAAATGGGGGGCTATTGCATGGTACACAATGACACTTTTACAGGTTTCTTTTTCACTCCAATTAGCCTGATAGAATATTATTAAATTATTAACATTATTATTAACCAAAAAACCAAAAACCAAAAACCAATTCTCGGGAGTGCCACATACGGTGTTACTACGTTAAGTTTATATTGTCTTTTTGATTTGAGAAATTTGTTTCACTTTAACCTGGTGTAAATTCAATAAAACTTTTCCAAGTCTAGCTCTTGTTCTAAGGTCCAAAACAGTACAATGTAGCTACACCTGTAAATTACACTTGTAAAAGATTTATTAAATTGACCACTACATTTATGTTTGAGACCTTATTAAGTGAAAAAGTCACCAAAGTCTTCGCTACCAAAGAAGAAACATGTACAATGAAAAATGTCAAAATGCACCACAGTGGTAGAGTATGGTTACACCACACCCTATCTATTCAATTTAGTCATCTGGCTTCAGTTGTTCAAAAGGTGATAGCGCTATCCACCAGATAAATCACTATCCAGTTGATAACTATTAGGGAAACCAATTGCACTATCCATGGATAGAGATTTATCCGGTGGATAGCCCTATCCACCATTTTAACAACTGGGGCATGCAGAATAATCATTACAGGTATGTTAGAGTTGTCAAAGACTGCAGCATTGATTTCTTTCATATTGCTTGTCATACCCAGTATCATTAGGGTAGAAAAGTAGTCTGCTCTTAATAGTTCTATGATTGTGAATGCAAGCTGTCTTGATGCTTTTAAACAAGTATTTTCCATCATTTTTTTGTCCTCTTCGTGGTGAATAAGTTTTCTCTTCTCTGTTACTGTGTTTAACCTCGTGACTTTGAATGCTGAATGAGCCATTGCAGGGTAATATCTACAAAAATGACAAAGAACACACAGCTAAGTTGTCAGTCAGCCTTTAACCTTTATGCAACAATAAGCAAAGCATTTCAGCTCCACCAGTCCATATATTTCCCAGTGTTCATTAGAAATATTGAGAGACTTTTTGGTTGCACAATGTGTAAATGGTACCATGTGAGGCACAAAACTTGTTTCGGAATGATTTTTTTAGTTGTTTCTTGGCACTACAGAAACCATTGCACATTAGCAAAATAATGTAATATCACTAACATTGTGTTGTGGGTTTAATTTAATCTTTTTTATTTTGTCAATTGGTAGTGAAACGATCTGCAAAATACTTATAGTGCAAAGCATATGGGAAACAACAAACAATACCTTATTGTAGGAAATTAGTGCTCAATGAAATTAAGGTAAGGGAAATTAAGGCGAATTTAGTGGAAACCTGCTTTTGAATATAAGAAATTAACGTAAAAGAGAGGGTGACTTTAAATAAACAAAACTTGTTGAGGCAAAAGGAACAAAGTTAAACGTATAATCCGAAATGGAAACTTTGTTCATGGTTCTTTCCCTAAACACACCAGTGGTCAAGTGCAGAAATCTGGCCACTTAAGTAGGGTTCTTTAAAGTTTCACTGTTACTGGCAGATCTTTACCCTGATACTCCTCTTTCTTAGGTTTCAAGAATGCTACAAGTGTATTGAGAATTTGGAGCCAAAATAATGGAAATAAAGGTCACGGAAATTAACAGTTACAAAAATTACCTTAAATTAACACAAATTTTTGAAAGTCATGTTAATTTCATAAAGCGTTACATGTAATTTCCCATATTAATAATAAGGTAATCTGTATTGCTTACCAATGTTCTCCTTTTCTTTGCAAGAGATAGAGTAGCAGCAAATTTCTCGATCTTGTATGGAAGCCAGATTCCTGTGGGCACAAAAGATAACTAAGTAAACAAACATTGTACTTTTAAGTTAAAACAACAGAATAATCTCATATCATGTGAAATACAAATCCTGACACATGGGTGATTAAAGGGAAATGCAATCAATTCAGAACTTACAGTCTCTCCACCAGTTCTTTTTCATCTAGTGCATTTGGGAGGTCCTTTTTGTTTCCAAGAACTAACACCTACAAGATTAAACATACAGAACATTAAGCAAAAATGAAGCAATTAAAGTGCATTTTTTGTGACCTTTTTTGTAAACCCTCTGTCACAGTTCAGTGACACTTTTGTCCAGAAATGCACACAACTTAGACCTCCGGTACTTCATATTACACACAGCTGTTTGTAATTTCAATATGACTTCACGTTTGACTGAATGGCCTTGCGTTAGGTGAGGATTAGGGCTAGGGGACACCTTGTGATGTCAATCATGAAGAGCGTGAATCTCATTAGCATGCATTTCTGGACATACCTTCAAGTTAATATTGTGTTGATTACAATAATGATCAATAGCTTGAACAACTGTAATAATTATTATTATATATAATTTATTTTCAAAGCTATTCACGCACATGCTATGAGAACTGTAGATTACATATAATTGCAGTTTACAAGCACAGAGATTCTTCACATTAAAATATTTTCAAGCACATACTGGAATGCCAGCTAACTGTGGTTTTTCCAACAGTCCATGAAGTTCATTTCTTGAAGCTTCTAATTTTTCATGATCTGCTGCATCTACCATATACCTTGAAGAAAAGTAACAAAGAAACCTTGTTACAATGCAATGCTACAGTAAGTAAACAATCTCCTCAGTAGTCATAAAAACTAAAATAACCTATTATTGCAGGAAAGTCTCTACTTTGGTGACTCATTTTTCACATTCACTATTATTTGTCATTGAAATTTGGTGATTATAATAAAGGGTTTTGATTGTAAGACTAAGGAGATTAAAGAATAAAAGAAAAGCATTGGTTATATGGCTATTTCCACAGAAGGAGCAGCCAATCCTGAGTGACAATGCAAACTCTACAGTTATAAGGATTCTTCTGTTATTTAGATTTCTTCACAACAATAGGAATGTACTTACACAATACAATTTACACCTCTACAATATCTCTCCCACATGCTTCTAAACCGAGGCTGGCCTCCAATGTCCCAAACCTAACAACACATAACACAACTGTTTTTTACCTTTCACATACATGCTTTATAAAGGCCAAAATTTCACAATTTTTTTTAGAGATGCGTATTTTGCGACACTTAGTTGTCAAGAATTTATGAGATGGTCAATAAAATTGGTCAATAAAAATGTAAAAATTTTACATGCAGTATTTTGGATATTGCTAAAATTAATGGACAAAAAAAACACTATCAACAGGTTTTTAACCAAATCATGACTGAAATGCACTTAGCCACCTGTGTGGATCCACATTCCTTCTACCTCTCATGACATCACTTTTCATGGTCAAGGACCACTTTGTCAGCTAACTTTTGCAGGGTGAAGAGATCTTTCAAACCATACATGAATAAGCATGATTCAGTCAAGGAGGCAAAGGCAAAGGCAAATAAGCATGTAACGTTGACACACATACTCCCTTGAAAATCTTGATTCACTACCCACCTACCTCTCCTTTCATGAAACACCTTTACCCACTGAAATGAAGCCTACTACATGCTCAGCAAAAGAAAAAAATGAGGCAAAAAAAAACGAGAGAAGAGGGATGGAGAGAAAGTGAAAGGAAAAAATCAAAACTACTGTGTCACTTTTAAACTAAAAACCAAATTTTACTTTCTGCGCATACGCCCTGAACTTCAGAAGCTTGTGTTATTTTGGCATCTGGATCAGAAGGCTGTGAGGCCTACAACCCATAAACAGCTTTTTGGTTTAAGTTTTAGCTCTTTATAGCCAGAGAGTGACCAGAAAATGGCTTGAAAATGGTTTTAGTACACTTCCTCCCAGCCCATCCTCTTTCTAATAATATTTTGCACTATCATAACAACTTGTAGCAAGGCCAGATCACCCTTAGTAGTCCCATTGACATTAAACCTTTCCATTGGATGTTCAAGAAACACTAGTAACACTGACCCTTTCATGTGCCTATAATATAGCAGCCTCCCACACAGGCATTTTTAGGGGAGCTCGTCTTTCATCCCTGCCACAAACGCCTGCTCAACCAAAAACAACATTCCTTTCCATTGTTTTAGTCGCGTGGTAAGTTACCAATCAGCAGTTTTGAAATAAAGTGCTGACAACCTAAATGCGACTCATAAGCCCGTGGTAGTGTAAAAACATGACCCTAGAATTACCGATTTCCTTGTTTTCTTTCCTTGGCTATGGTTGGGCAGTGCAAGGAGTATTCTAAAACCTGACTAAATCTTACTTTTGCCACTTGGACTCTAACATTTTGTTGAGGTCATAAAGCTTTACTAGTGTTTCATGCAGAGCAAGTAATTATCGGGTTACCCTGCGGTCAAGGTCAACTTTCCAGAATTTGGAAAGTACAATGCGATTGGCTAAGCTTGGGAAAGGAAAGATGTTCTCGGTTGAGCAGGCGTTTGTGGGGAGGGATGAAAGACGAGCTCTCCTAAAAACGCCTGCGTAGCAGGCTAATAATATAGATGACACAACACAAATCTTGTTCATCATACCTTAATTGTTACATTTCCTTTGGTAACTTTTCTCATATTAAATCCAACTGTTGGTATCATGTCTTCACTAAACTGACCAGACTGGAAAGATAACATTCCAGAGATTACTATACTATTATATTCAGGAGTGTGGTGTCCATGTATGCACTTACGCCCATGCGTACATCTGGATCTGGAAAATAATATTTTTTTAATTCCCTGAAAGCATTTTTATCATTTAATCAGAACATGCTCTGGGAAGGTGCATCATGGGTTGGTGTATGTGTGCCCCTTGTTTTAAGTTTGTCTTTGAAAATAGTGAACTAAACAGTTCTACTGCATAAAGAATTTGAAATCCCAACTTTACATAGCAAAATATTTCAGATATTGAAGTTCGTGTTTTTTTCTGAGGTTGCACAAATGTCATTTTGAGTACAATTTAGTGGCCTTATAAACAAACTTAGGATCCTCAAAAAATCATATTAAATTCGGCAAACATTCATTTTATTTATATTTGGTCTCTTTTTAAAGTTAAAAAAAAAATTATGGTGTACTGATGAAGCCTTTTGAATTTATTTTTCTTCAAAGACAAAAAATTTTGCAGCATTATTATTTTTCTTAGCAGCAGGTGATAAAAATTCCAGCAGTTAAATGCGCAGCCATACGTGTAAGTTGCAAATAAATCCACGCGACGATTAGTTGAAGACAGGATGAACACGAAACTCACAAGCATGCAAATGGCTCGTGGATTCTCTGTTCTGTATCACATGTTCTCTAAAAAACAATGCATTCTCTGTTCTGCATTACGTCATAAATGTTACCTTTCATTACTATATGTTACATCAATTCAAAATTTTTTCTGCCCCTGGAACTATCATGCACGTCTTTATTAGGCTACCACCATGCAGCCTCGCGTCTTTGCAAGGCTGCTCGTTGGCAATTAACAAGTATTGTTTGACCCTTTTTTTAAAAAGAGGAGTATTCAAGCGTTTAGAGTCAGGGGTTAGTTCCTGCCAGAGATCTACTGCCATTGCAGATCGTTTGTTTGCCAGTGTTTGTTCTATGACACGTCTTATATAGATTGCCTTTTGAAGCATATCTTGTGTTATGAGAGTGGATGTGTTTGGCATATCGGAAACAACTATTTAAGATTGATGGAGCTACTGTTTATACTATTTAAGGATAAATCTTTATGCTTGAAGTTCATATATGTGATTAACAGTTAGAGTGTCAAGAAGATTTATTAATAGCAAGCGGCTTTCTATATTTTTCCCATACAAAGTAGACAAAACATTATCCTTACAATGTGGCTTTGTTTGATTTGAAGAACTTTTATAATGGACTTATAGGAACTGCTCCAAGCAATAATACATAGGAGAGATAGGGATCGATTTAGTTGTGGTACATTTGTCTCAGTTGAGATGGAGAAAAGTAATGACGAAGCTTTAAAATAATTCCAGTCTCAGAGAGCAAGATTCAAGTGCAACAAAGCTGTATTTACAGCAAATAAGAAGCTCACAGTCGCTGATGCCAAATTAAAGCTATTTAGCAGTCTATTGAGGAGGACGACGAGAAAGTCACTAGGGTCACTATCCCAGGTTTGGACAACCCTATTGACACAAAAGAGACAACGCAAGTCTGGATTAATGCACAAGGGATTATGGAGACACTGGATCGCAGAGGGTACCCAAGCTCCCATCAGGACTCAGGGAAAGTAATGCACACCATGCTTTAAAGTGAACTAGCCAATGCTCACCCGTTTGCAAAAAAGAGCATTTACCTGGCACAAACACTGCCAGCTTGGAAAAGTCCCCGCCAGTCAACACGCCCCTTTTTGGCCTCCGAGGAATGAATCCCTTTGCGACGACTCCCGCAGATGACCTCACAACAGTCAATCAAAGGCTAGTCGCAACTTTGTCGTGACAAAACCTTCCTCAGTGCCACCTCGAGATATTCGCAGGAGACCTGACACTCTCCCACCCATCGAAAAGTGTTTTTCGTGCCATGATCGAGAAGCTACACAAAACGAGATGCACAAATAGAAATTAATAACTACTGTTAGAGACAAAATAGGAATCTCGCTGACACCATGTGCGATGTATGGAGGGAGCTGGAGAGACACTTCGGCAATATGTTGCCATCACTAACGTTCTGTGAGAATGACTTCAGACAGCAGCCAAATTTGGAGAAGAAGACAGTGAAAAGCTTCAAGCATTTCCTTCAAAAAATAAGTGCTGGAAGTCAGAAACAAATGCGTTCTCATAGCAGGAATTTTTTTGGCAGGACATAGATTGAGCAAATGCAATGCAATCGTGAAATGCGGCAAGTGCAGGGACGACTGCCATCCCATGGCACTTCACAATAGAGACGCCTGACACGACATGAACGGAGCACAGCAAGGAGCTCAAAAACGGCCTGCAATTCGGTTTGCCGCAACCCTTTCAGTGGTGGAGTCCTGTGTAACAAGATTGTTCTCGTTGACATTCTCTGTGAGAATTGTCTTCAAAAGTCTCATCGCACTTATGCAATCATAGACGACCTGAGCAACGCTTAACTCCAAACCTAGTCAATAGGTTGAGTGCAACCAGACCGAACATCAAGTACTTCCTGATGACCTGCAGCGGTGGATGAGAAGAAAGTCTGGGCAATAATAATTATAAGTATAAGTATTAGACCTTAATTATTCATTACGCATTGCATAAAATACAATTCTTACAAATATTATAAATATCCTCTACATTTGTCTCACTTATGGCACTGCTAAAGCTGGCTACTGATGGTAGAGATCTAAGCTGATGATCTAACTTGGACAACAAATATGGCCCCATGATGATGTGTTAAATCTATGAGAACTTAAGTCACTGTTCCTTAAATTGTAGTTATAGGTCAATTATTGTTGGCGAAACATGCTTTGGACTGTTTGTGGCATTTCTTGCCATTCACTAGAACGAGAAGGACCATTTCACATTCCATGTCTTTCTGCCAGAAAAGTCCTTTATGCAAACGGGAACTATGTCTGTAATAAACTCGGTGTACAACCCTCTGGCATTTCCAGTCATCCTGGAAGGGAAGCTAATCCCCACAGCAACTCGTCATCATGGGGAAGAAGGTGAATGGCAACAATCCCCTTGGTTGGGATGAACCACTTCTGGAGAACATGAAACACCACTGGAGTCAATGGAGAGACCTACTCCCCAAGCTGGAAAAAGTATTGATTCCTTGTTGCCACCATCCTAAAGGATTTGACACTGTCACATGGAGGGAGATACATGCATTTTCCAGTACAAGCAAGGAAGCCATCCGAGCTGTACCTGTGTGAATTCAACAAAGATGGAGTTGTAAGCCTTTCTCTTTTGTTCAGATGGTCTAAGTTGGCACCAAGCCATATGATGAGCATTCCTAGATTAGTGCTGTGCAGCGAAATACTTGTAACACAAGACATAATGATGAATCACATAGAGCTTGACATTGAAATTGATGAAGAAATCTACTACTCTGACTCAAAGGTTGTACTTGGGTACATTCAGAATGAAAGTAGAGGATTCTATGTCCATAACACGACTGCACCAAGTCAAGGGAGATACATCAACACTGCAAGAAATCCTGCTGACCTCGCAACTCATTGTGTTACCCCACAACTGGAAACTAATAGAATCGCGATGGATACTGGGACCTTAATTTCTATGGAATCCGCTGCTCCAGCCTCAAGCTTCACTCCTGGCGGTACGCCTCAGCGAAAGAAACCCTGAGGTGAAAAGGGAAGTCATCACCTGTGCCAAATCAACACACTCACCCCAAAGTCTTAGCTGTGAGAGATTTAAGCGCTTTTCCCACTGGTCCTCCCTGAGGCGTGCAATTGTAAGTCTTAAAGTGTGTTCGTAAGAAAGTTCAAGGACAGAAATCAAGGGCCCCAAACAAGCGAGTCATCCCTTGGCCTCCTCAATCTGCAGCTGAGCTTGAACAAGCTGGCCAGGCTGTAATCTAGGCAGTACAGAAAGAAGTTTTTTCCACAGAGCTAATGGCATCGTCTTTAGATGAAAGGAATAAATCACTTCCCAAACATTCAAACCTGTTGCAGCTTGATCCCTTGGTACATTGTAATGGGCTACTTTGGGTCGGAGACCGTCTCAAAAACTTGACACTTGACTCTCAAGAGAAACATCCAGTAATTCTACCAAAAGGTCATCATGTATTGGAGATGATCATTCACATCAAGGTACTGGAAACTATGGACACCAACTTGTTCATCTGTGCACTGGGATGGTTTTTCACCATTTGTGGATCAGTGATGAAACTCATACATGTATGTGATCACAGCAGTAGCTTTGTTGGAGGAAAATCACAGTTGCAACAAGCACTTTTGGAGATGGACCAAACACAAGTCTAGAAGTTTGTAGCAGAACAAGGTTGGATATTTAACCCTCCACACGCATCGCACTTTGGACACGTATGGGAGTAGCAGATTGGAACTGTATGATGTGTATTGGATGGAATGTTGCTAGGGATTGGATGCACACAGCTAAGCCATGAACTACTAGTGCCTCGCATGACAGAGGTTACTGGAATCGTCAACAGCCGCCCCATTTCAGTAGTCCCCTCTACAAAGGTGAACCATAAACTACCACAAGGCTGCTTATGATGAATACCTGCCCTCTAGCACCTCACCCTGGTAACTTGGACCTGTATGCCTGTAACTGGTGGAAGAGAGCACAATACCTGGCTGATCAGTTCTGGGTCAGATGCAAAAGCGAGTATCTGCAGAACTTCCAGAACAGATTGAAGTGGCAAAAGTGGTAGAACACTGATGGCAAAGTGCTAATGGCCAAAGTGACTTCATGTAGAGCAGGAAACTCAAATACCTACAAAAAACCAATTTCCAGTTTCGTCGTTCAACTGAAACGGGAAGAGGAAGCCTGATTTACGGACAATGCAATTTGATTCCATGGACTTGATTGACATAATGATGATGAAAGCAAGGATTTTCAATACTTGGGCGAGGAGTGTCATGAATTCAGACGATGCGTTACATTGGTTTTATATTATTTTTTGTTTAATTAGTTGATATTTTACAAGTTTTGACATATTATCATTATTATGGCAGTCCACCTAGCTTGGAGCAGGGGGAGAGAAGAGATGAGGTCTCGGACCAAGAAACGATGTTTTCAAAACTTGCAAAGCTGTCACCTTCCGTGATGGTCAGCGATTATTTAACCAGCAGAGGAAATAAGTCAACAATTAAAAAAATAATATCATGCCTCTTTGTTTTTCTCGCATATTGTATTTTTCCGTTGGTATCGAGATTGCAAAACGCAAGTGACACTCACTGCAACCGTGTAAACTCTTAACCAGCAACGTGCACTGGACTATTGATCGAGTTTATAGGAATTTTGCCAGGTGAGGAGAATATTATAGAAGTTATGATACTAATACAAATTACTGGAGAAAGGGTCAGATTTATTGAAATTAAGTCTAAACAAGAGAGCTTTATAAATATGAGCTTACATACCTGAATAAACAGATTCAGACTTCATAACAATGATAACATTTCACTTTGTTCATTACAAATATCAGTCAACACCTTAAGTTCAAAGTTAAAATTCAAACAACCCTATAAGAAATTACATCTATTGCTGAAACCTCTGTACCTTGAAGCGACCTTAACTTTCCTTAGGTTTGCAGCAAAATGCTGCTCAATATCTAACTCTTCGGTGGTTGTTTCAGCCATACGCAGCTATAAGTTGCATGTTCCAAACTCTGCGGAAGAATATTGTTTAAAGGAAAAAGCAACACACATGCACATCTGAAAGCACACATCTGAAAAGCGATATAAGATCAATAAAGGTGTGAATTACTAACATATCATAGATCATAATAGTGAGAAACAATCCAGCCTTCTACCGCGATGATTTTGTTCCTTCTCAAAACCATTGATCTTTGGTTTATGATGAAATGCACATGATCAAGACACAAATTCACTTTCCAAGTTGTGAGAACATCGTTTTTTTTTTATTTAAAAGAATGTCTGGGAAGTAGCTTCCCAACACCCCCCCCCCCACCCCCCTCCCCGCCCCATCAACAACCCCCACCTGCCTAGCACTTTAACCAGATCTTAATCGGGGATATACGCAGAGTCTTAACAGAGTTAGATTATTTCAATTTTTTCCCACTTTTTCGTTCTTTTCTTTTCTACACTTGGAGAACTATAACATGATTTTTGTTACATTTTTGTCTTTCATTTTAGGTTTGTTTATACTAGATTTCATTTTACTTTTCAGTTACTTTCTTGCATTATGCACGTTCAGTTCTTACCATATTTAAGCAATAGAAAACGTTTCCCGTGTTTGCATAGCCTGATATAAACACGAGAGGGGTTGGGACAATTCGAGACAGTTATGCAAACCCGAGACGAAGTCGAGGGTTTGCATAACTGTCGAGAATTCTCCCAACACCTCGAGTGTTTATATCAGGCTATGCAAACACAGGAAAAAAGTTTTCTATTGCTTTTATAAAATAACTTTCCCAAGAAAAACGCAAAACTCTTTGTATAGCACTGATTAAAAGAGAAATTCTTACCAGTCGCAAAATCTTGTCCACGAAGTCTTGCATGCGTAATCAGTTCTTGTTTTGCAAAAAGATGCTTTGCAAAATACGGATTTTTCTCGCTTAAAACGGTCAGCTTAAGCGAAGAAAAATGTACACACCTTCTTTGTAACGATTTTCCAAGTTTTAGCCGACCAAGGAATGGGTAAATAAAGTAAACGTTTTGAGTTTTGAACTTGAAAACTTTTTCAAATTTGTGCTTGCGTGATTAGCGCGTGAAAAGCCAAACAACTTGACGCCACAACCATGTTTACATACTCTGATGCAAACACTCCTCTCGGCCAATCAGAGCGCGCGTACTTTCTTAGTTATTTTATAAACTTCATTGATTCTACAATAAACAAAATTTTAAATCATCTTGGAGAGTGTGGTTGATCACAGCGAACTCTAACTAGTGGCAACGCAACAAGGGCTTTATAGAGGATTTACGGTATTAATAATCATTGAAACTTTTTTTAAATCACCATTGATGTACTAACAATAATATTGCTAACCAACAAATGAACTTTGTGTCTTAAATGGGTTATCATGTGAGTGATAGAAATGAATTGTACAGTACATACAGCTGTAGAGGTCATTACCGTACTATCAGCAATAATTTAAGAGCATAATATCATAAACAGTTTGCTCTTCATGTGCCTTGGGGAGCCTTCTAGACACAACAACAAATGAACTTCCCAGTCATGTATAAGCAACTCTCATAAGCAGAATAAAACCACAGTTTTTATGCTCTTGCTGAATCAATAACAGATCTCGTAACCATCAGTAAAGCAACAGAGTACAGATACATACAGTTACAGATATTTTTGGTCGGTCTACACATATTTTCCTGCAAATGACATTGGCAGTTGAAGTCTGAAAAAAATGGTGCATTAACTGTCGTTTATCGACATTTTCGTGATGTCTCAGTTCAGTTTCAGTAAGTTATGCTGATATAAAATTAAAAGGATTAATTTCTCAAATGCATCACGTACATATTTATACAACCGCACACCAAGCCTGCTATAAGCGTCAGCTTACATGAAAACATACGTTATCGCGTGAGTAAAAGTTTGTAAATTTCAAGGGAGAAAAATAACTGTTTCTGATTTTGATGCATCGTTAAGCTTTTAAGAATAGAAATCAGTAAACGTAAAAAGGGCAAACTTGCATGACATCACTCATGACTTACCGCTATAACATTGACAAACGTCGTCTTCCCAGAATACTGCAATCCTACAAGAGTAAGCTCCATCTCCTCCTTCCAAAACAAGCTTTTTATCCAGTCTAAGATACTTCTAAAAAACGCCAACATGTTTGTAACAAGACGTTTCAAACGTGTTCACTTGATTCTCGGTTTTCTGTCCCTTCCGTCACATGACAAAAGATGGCGGATCTATCCCAGAAAACAATTCGCGCGGCAGAAGAGCTGCAGAAGAGATCTGGGTACGAAATTACATTTCATTAAAATAAGCGGCTCAAACATTCAAAATGGAGATAAAATTGTTTGTGGAAATAGCGCCCTTTGTGAAGCCAAAATGAGCACGATCGATTTTCTCAAAAGCGAAGTTGAACGGCTGAGCAATGAGCTACAACAAGCCTGCTTAGAAAAAGTGCAAGCGGCTGAATATGGGCTGGCGGTGTTGGAAGAAAAACAGAGATTACAAGAACAATACGACGAACTCGAAACGTCTCTCGAAGCGAACAAGCAAGAATTGGAATGTTTGAGAGAGGTAAATATTTGATAGTTCATTTTATTCATTGCGAAGTTGTATGGCTCTTTTTTCTGATTTGATTAGGATCAAAGTGTGTGATCGCAAAAAACTTTCACAGACCTCTATCATCAAATGCCTTGAATTATTGATATGCCGCACTTGTGTAAACTAGACTTAATCCATCAACGACTGATCTGAATGCATAGTTAAGTAAAATAATTCTTAGGCCAGTTTTTTTGATAAAATGAGACCTTTAAAATATGACGGTTTATCTATGGAGACATTTTACTAACTTTATTCAACTCATATGCAATACAATGGTCACCAGCCGGCCAGTAAAAATCGCGTGACGTGGAAGCGTATAAAGGCTGTCATCAAATCCGATCGATCCCGGCTAGGGATCAGACCACCTGGAATCAGACGGTGTTCTTAAATGATATCATTTCGGTAAATTGTGTTAGTAAGAAAAACACTTGCAGAATGTGAAAAATTTGAAGGCCTGTGCCTGCAGCGTACAAACTGTCTGTAACGCCACAGCAACTACAATGTGGAGTCAATAATGCCATTTATACGAGGAAAAATAAGACGCGTCTTACATAAGACGCGAACTGGACCATTTATACGAGCATGTCTTATCTAAGTCTTCTGTATACTTACACTTGCTTTTAAAATGTAAGTTTATATTACCAAGATAGCAATTTGATTAGTAAATATAAATTGTGATAGTTTAAAGCTAAAAGGGTCTGCTTACACCAGCAGATGTCACGCATCTGCTGTCCAGGAGGTCTGTTATCGCCTTCTCCTTATATATATACACTGTAATAACAAAAAATCTTTTTCCTCAGCGATGGACCAAGTGTTTCTTTTTACCTTTAACGGCGTGCTCATTGTATCTGAGCAAAGAAAAAATAAAGCAGAATAGACATGGAAACGAAAACGCGTTGTAATTTGTTAAAAAATTTTCCCGCCAGTGGCCTGCCAGTCCACCGCTGGGCAAGCGATAATTTTCCTGCCAAAAATTAAGGCATGCGTACTATGCATTCGCATCTTATGTAAGATGCAAATTTCGTTTATACAAAGTTTTTCTCGTCTTAGCTAAGACGCGTCTTATCAAAGAACAGGTGTTAAGGGCTGTTTAAAATAAGACGCATCTTAGCTAAGTCGCGCCTTATTTTAGATGAAATGTGCCGTTTATACAGAAAGTTCGCGTCTTATTTTTCCTCGTATAAATGGTCCTAATGTAGGTGGGATGAGGAGTAGAGTAACAAAGTAATTTAGCGTTATGCAGAAATTCTACTTACAAAGCTCTCGCTGGCATTTTCAGGCCATATCATGATTGATCCACTCAATCACAATGTTCAGGTTGATGGCAATTTTGAGATGTAATGCACCTATCAATGTAAATCCCGCAGGGGGGGGGAGTGCGGGCAAGGGGCGGGGATTTGACAAATTTTAACATTTTTTATCAAATTCCCCAGGGTCGGAAACAAAATGGTCAATCAAAAAGTGTCAAAAAAGCCCTACCCTAGGGGAAAAAATCAAAACAAACAATACTATAATACTNCAGTTTCAGTAAGTTATGCTGATATAAAATTAAAAGGATTAATTTCTCAAATGCATCACGTACATATTTATACAACCGCACACCAAGCCTGCTATAAGCGTCAGCTTACATGAAAACATACGTTATCGCGTGAGTAAAAGTTTGTAAATTTCAAGGGAGAAAAATAACTGTTTCTGATTTTGATGCATCGTTAAGCTTTTAAGAATAGAAATCAGTAAACGTAAAAAGGGCAAACTTGCATGACATCACTCATGACTTACCGCTATAACATTGACAAACGTCGTCTTCCCAGAATACTGCAATCCTACAAGAGTAAGCTCCATCTCCTCCTTCCAAAACAAGCTTTTTATCCAGTCTAAGATACTTCTAAAAAACGCCAACATGTTTGTAACAAGACGTTTCAAACGTGTTCACTTGATTCTCGGTTTTCTGTCCCTTCCGTCACATGACAAAAGATGGCGGATCTATCCCAGAAAACAATTCGCGCGGCAGAAGAGCTGCAGAAGAGATCTGGGTACGAAATTACATTTCATTAAAATAAGCGGCTCAAACATTCAAAATGGAGATAAAATTGTTTGTGGAAATAGCGCCCTTTGTGAAGCCAAAATGAGCACGATCGATTTTCTCAAAAGCGAAGTTGAACGGCTGAGCAATGAGCTACAACAAGCCTGCTTAGAAAAAGTGCAAGCGGCTGAATATGGGCTGGCGGTGTTGGAAGAAAAACAGAGATTACAAGAACAATACGACGAACTCGAAACGTCTCTCGAAGCGAACAAGCAAGAATTGGAATGTTTGAGAGAGGTAAATATTTGATAGTTCATTTTATTCATTGCGAAGTTGTATGGCTCTTTTTTCTGATTTGATTAGGATCAAAGTGTGTGATCGCAAAAAACTTTCACAGACCTCTATCATCAAATGCCTTGAATTATTGATATGCCGCACTTGTGTAAACTAGACTTAATCCATCAACGACTGATCTGAATGCATAGTTAAGTAAAATAATTCTTAGGCCAGTTTTTTTGATAAAATGAGACCTTTAAAATATGACGGTTTATCTATGGAGACATTTTACTAACTTTATTCAACTCATATGCAATACAATGGTCACCAGCCGGCCAGTAAAAATCGCGTGACGTGGAAGCGTATAAAGGCTGTCATCAAATCCGATCGATCCCGGCTAGGGATCAGACCACCTGGAATCAGACGGTGTTCTTAAATGATATCATTTCGGTAAATTGTGTTAGTAAGAAAAACACTTGCAGAATGTGAAAAATTTGAAGGCCTGTGCCTGCAGCGTACAAACTGTCTGTAACGCCACAGCAACTACAATGTGGAGTCAATAATGCCATTTATACGAGGAAAAATAAGACGCGTCTTACATAAGACGCGAACTGGACCATTTATACGAGCATGTCTTATCTAAGTCTTCTGTATACTTACACTTGCTTTTAAAATGTAAGTTTATATTACCAAGATAGCAATTTGATTAGTAAATATAAATTGTGATAGTTTAAAGCTAAAAGGGTCTGCTTACACCAGCAGATGTCACGCATCTGCTGTCCAGGAGGTCTGTTATCGCCTTCTCCTTATATATATACACTGTAATAACAAAAAATCTTTTTCCTCAGCGATGGACCAAGTGTTTCTTTTTACCTTTAACGGCGTGCTCATTGTATCTGAGCAAAGAAAAAATAAAGCAGAATAGACATGGAAACGAAAACGCGTTGTAATTTGTTAAAAAATTTTCCCGCCAGTGGCCTGCCAGTCCACCGCTGGGCAAGCGATAATTTTCCTGCCAAAAATTAAGGCATGCGTACTATGCATTCGCATCTTATGTAAGATGCAAATTTCGTTTATACAAAGTTTTTCTCGTCTTAGCTAAGACGCGTCTTATCAAAGAACAGGTGTTAAGGGCTGTTTAAAATAAGACGCATCTTAGCTAAGTCGCGCCTTATTTTAGATGAAATGTGCCGTTTATACAGAAAGTTCGCGTCTTATTTTTCCTCGTATAAATGGTCCTAATGTAGGTGGGATGAGGAGTAGAGTAACAAAGTAATTTAGCGTTATGCAGAAATTCTACTTACAAAGCTCTCGCTGGCATTTTCAGGCCATATCATGATTGATCCACTCAATCACAATGTTCAGGTTGATGGCAATTTTGAGATGTAATGCACCTATCAATGTAAATCCCGCAGGGGGGGGGAGTGCGGGCAAGGGGCGGGGATTTGACAAATTTTAACATTTTTTATCAAATTCCCCAGGGTCGGAAACAAAATGGTCAATCAAAAAGTGTCAAAAAAGCCCTACCCTAGGGGAAAAAATCAAAACAAACAATACTATAATACTATATCAGGGTTGTCACTAAGATTTCTAGTTGCTGGGTAAATACAACAAGTAGGCGGGGAATCAAACGGCTAGGGATTTCTTTTGGTTCTATTTTTCTTCTATTTTCCAATAAAAGTAGCTGGGGGCCACTCTCTTAGTAGCCGGGGAAAATCCCCAGCCCTTGGCTCTTAATGACAACCCTGCTATATAAAACGAATATAAGAACATTTCAAAAGTGCATTCTTACTACTTTTATTTAACGTTAACGTAAGCTCCGTTAAATTACTTGCTGTAATTAAGTATTCTCTCTCTCCACTAGCATCTCTTATTTTGAACAACATAATCACTCCAGGAAGATTGACCGTGCTATTATAATATTGATGAAATGTTCAATGCTTTATAACATCTGTTCAACATGTCGAAACAGGTTGGATCAGTGACCCGTAAAAAATCCTCTGATTTTCATGGTGGAATTCGATTTCAATCGAGTTTTACAAGCAGATGGGAACTTGAAGATAAAAACTTTCTCAAAATAGACATTACCTGTTTAGATGACAGTTTAAAGTATCGGATTATAGCGATTAAAACAAATGAAAACTCCGTACCTTTCTGCAACAGCATGACTTTCAGAAAGCCTCGAGGGACAGACTTGGTAACCGCTTCTGAATTGATACCAGGCTTCTGTCGGTCAAAGTCAAATGTCCAGACCCCGGGGT